TTTTAAAAATAGCCCCCTTTAAAGCTTTTGGTGGGCGGGTGTTAAATGAAACGTCCCCGGGCTACAACCGTAAGTGGCACTGCAGATAATGGCCATCATTGTCTGATTTGATGGTCGCAAACAAGGTCGTTGCAGCCGCATATGGAGTCATATTCCTCAAGCAAAATGTTTTAACATTGACCGAAAGCTCTAATGTTGAAACTTTATAGCCATTCTGCTGCCTCACTGCTGGTGTTAATGGTCCCCATTTCGGCTGCCGCTCCCCTACTCCCCTACTGTACTCCTTCCTCAACATCAAGCTTTTCAGCTTCTCTGTCAAACGGCTCAACAGGCCGACTACTGATTGCTCTGATAGATGAGCGAACGAGGAGAGGAGTCGTGAGCCTCACACTCAAGCGTGTGGAAGTTCAGCGCCCTGTTACACCCACGCCAAGCAGTCCAATCGCCTCCAGACTTTGACACATCATTTCCCCTGTGATTTGTGGCCAGATTGAGGTTGAAGGAGACAAGGAAATTTTCTGTTCTCATGAGAACAGATGGATGTTGCAGCACTGCAGACTGAGCCAAAGGTTGTTTCTTTTTTTCCTCCCTTCCTGAAGAACCCTCTTGCTTTATAAGGGATTGGTTTCATACTCCATAATGGAGTCATGATGACTAGCTATTACAGCACATTTTCAGAAAACGACCTGCTACTTTTTTCCCCTTTTGGATGACATAGACTGACTGTCCTTCCAGGAAAGTGATATCTGTTATTTTTTAAAATACTTGTAAGTACCGAGCAGCAATGGACAATTTCCCATTTGTCGTATTTGTGCTGTTTCATACAAGATCAAAGTTGGGACTCCCCTGTTTGTGATCAAAGATGGACTGTAATGCCACGAAATGATGCGTGATGTAACGTACATGCAATTGGTAAAATGTGATAGGCTTGTCAGGGTAGCAAATGGTGACCGTCTTTTTCACCCCCCCCCCCCCCCCAACATGTTGAATCTCATCCTCTGAGAAGTGAAGCCTCCGCACCTCCCCCTTTGGGACGTTGATGTTTGGAGATCAGAAGTGTGGTGGTGCAGGCACTTTGGCAATGGGCTTCACCATTTACCCACGCCACATCTAACTTGTCTCACCCAATCCAGATAACTTCAAAGAATGGTTCGAAACCCACCTTCCAAAAAAAATCCAGAGTTTTTCCCCACCGGTGTTGTTCCTGTTAGAATAGCAGCATGTTAATTTGAGTTCTTGAGGAAAAAAAAGTCTGCTGGGAATCTTATCAATCCACCTCAGGGCTCCGAAGAATTCGGTTGCACACCACAAGATTTTTTCATCTCTGTTGATCTTCTTCTCTTCTGGGCTGATCTCCCAGCCCCTCTGCCAATAAGCTTCTTCCTCTTGTGAGACTTTTCCCTCGTCCTCCTAATTCCTTACCCATTATTCATCCATCTCCAGCCTCTTCTGCCAAGCCCAACAATACCTCTTACCTCAGAACCGATTAATTTGCTGTTTTGCCAAATGTATGAACCCCATGAACCTGCCTGGTTGCTTCTTGCTAGATATCCTTGAAACAGAAAAAAGTAGAATTCCCAATATTTGCACCAATGGACATCCTCCTGACTTTTGGGCTTAATACAAAGACAGAGTGAGCAGCCATGCTAAGTTGCCTCTGTTGAGCTTTGGTGGTTTTGACAGCATGGTAACAAGATCCACAGGAAGACCAAAACACTAACATGCTGATGTTTAGCATGTATAATATTTACTATGTGCACCATCTTAGTTTAGTGTGATAGCTGGTTAACATTTGATAATTAGTGCTAAACACAAAATACAGCTAAGTCTGATTTGGTCATAACACAAAGTATTGAAGAAATTAAGACCTGATGAAAAGTCAGAAGATCACCAATGGCACCAGGGATGTCTGTATCCACTTTTGAGCCAATGCATTAAGAATATGTTGAGATATTTAACTGAATAAGTGAAAACATTGACTTCCTATATCGTCAGCAGCTGGTCAGAGGATCACCAAAGTCTGTAGAATTTCTAATGTTGGGACCTTTATTCAATGGCAAACCATCCCTTAGGTGTCAAGATATTTCACTCACATAATCACAAATGTCAACCTGCTAGTGGCTCTAGATGAAAAGTAAGGGAATCACCGAAGATGCAAGGATTCATCATCCAGGGAACATGAATGTCTGTACAAAATTTCATGACAATCCTTTCCAAAAAATGGTGGACCGACTGAAATTGCCTTCCCTAGGGTCATGCCACTAGCATGCTTAAAAAGCCATCATAACTTTGCAACCATGTGCCATCTCAGCTATTCTAAAGTTTGGTGAGTCAATCACATTTGAAAGAGTGTAAAGTAGAAAATCTGTATGTCAATAAGGAGAGATTAAGTGTTAATATCTGAAAATTGACTATCTGAGAAGAAAGAGGACTTCAGAAGGATATTTTCATACTCAGTGCATCTGAAGTGAAGTGAAGAGGTTGCCATGAGTCATCTGCGCTGAATCGTAAACATAGTGGACACTTTCTTTTCTCGATGTTATGAAGCCGCTCTGCTACTTCACAAATATCTTCGTGCTATGAGTGCTCTCGTCTCTCTGTCTCACTGGTCAGACAATATCAAAGTGACTCGAGTGAGATGCACTTCTATGAATCCTCATTTATCTGTGAGAGATTTTGTTGCACTGCCACACTTGACGCTGCCACAGTCAACATATAATTGTATCTTTATGTTGTGAAATACAATCACATTCTTATCCCCAAAACAAGTCTGTAGCACAAGATGTCTGTCAAACTGCTTTTGGTTGCCATGAAGAATTTTTCTCAAGAGATTTGACCAACTGACCACTAAAACTGATGAGTTAACTGTTGCTACAGTATGTGCCTGTTGGTTGGCTGTATTTCTACTCTTTTCACTGTGGGTTACAGATATGACTGATTTCCGTATTTGCTCTCATATGAAAAAATAAAGCTTACTCTTGAACGTATATGTATTTGTAACATGCACATGATCCCCTTCCTTAGAGTGTAAACTGGTTATGACTGACATACAGATATAAAGAAATAATCTGCACCAGCAATCATACAGTCAATTATACGGCAACCTTCATGATCTAAGACATCATGGACAAATAATCAATGTACACAAATATCAACTGACAGACATATTATCTCTAGAGGCGAAAACTACAGTTTGAAATCTCTTAAAAAAGAACCTCCCAATTATCCAATTTAACTTCATGAAGTACACTGTGCCTGACAAACAAGGTGATGAGAAAAATCACAGACAATATGTTCAGATAAATACATAAACACACTGTTCCCTCTTGTGTGGGTAGCTGTTATTTATATTTCTATATTTACATTGTGAATAATCTCTGTAGCTTTGCAGTGTATATATAATAGGTTAGACTCATTTGTACAGTGAAGTCCCCCTCAAAGTCAAAAGTATGTTTTTCTTCTTCCTATAAGTTGGATGTTTGAGCTTCACTGTGCAGAATGATGTCTGTGCAGAGTTTGATCCTATAAAGATGTTTTCACATTCATCTGCTGAAAGTGGAAAGTTTCTTGTGTCCAGCAGGAAAACCTAAGAAGTTAACAACATTTGCATATTTATAGATTCTGTGTTTTTTAATGAGGTAGAAGCCGCAGATGCCTTTTTAAGGATTTTAATGTGTAAAACATAGTGGACACACATTATTGTTCCAAGCACACTATTTGTATATGTCTTAATACATGTCTGGAGGGGATCTTTAAACATTTAATTATTTTTTGTCTTTTCACTGAAATACTGAAATTAGAGCTGTAGCTTTTCGCATGAATGTTAAGACTGGTAGACTTCCCTCTAGTTTGGATTAATCGTCGTGCTAACAGTGAAGTGAATGCTATAACATTCGACTGATATAAAGTGATATTATGTTCTGTTGATGGTACACCAAATACCGCCATGTATAGACTAGGATCTATTGTTTTGTTGCAGATATAAGGGAACACTTGAAATAAAGAGATCCCCCAATTTAATGAGTTACATGACCAGAACATATGACCCATTGTCGCTGGTGACTGGGGGAATCTAGGACAACTGGAGTCAGAGGTCGAGAACATTTCTGAGAGTTTAGCTTCAGTAAAGTAAAGAGGATGCATAACTTTGAACTGTAGCAAGCAATGACGACTAATAATGAGATCTCAAATGGCGTCAGGGATTGCCACCTTAAGATCTTGTTCTCAGGCGTCCTTTGGCTCGGTCAGTGTTGGAGGATGGATGTGTTGAATTATATGATATAGTCTTGAAATACTGCCTTTAAGGTTGGCGTCAAGCCTTAAGCAGTCTGCTTAAGAGGTTGTACAGTTTTACCAACAAATAAACTATATGAATAATCATTTTGTTGTTGGATGAAGTTGTTTCACCAAATATTTCCACTTCCCTGCCTCCTTCTGGCTCAGCGGTGCTAAACATTGAAGATGTAATTTGATCTTGAAGTTTTATGCCACACACATTACTTTGAAGCAGTCCCCAAAGCACAGTGTTACGCAGTGTAATGATGTGTGTATGATACATTTAGAAAACAAATCTATCTCATAACCTTAACATGTAAAAAGTGTGTATTATATTTTATTATATATATATTATATACAACATATTGAGCAAACATATTGCTCAATCATCTTCCTTTTTCTTGCCTGGTTATTAAATTGTATATTTGTTGCTGTACTATAATATATTTGTTATTTTTACACAGTATATTTATTGTTATACTTGATATTTTCCTCTTTATGGTATATTTGTTGCTGTTATACAATATACAGTATCTGTCAGCTCCGACTGCTGGCAGATTTATGATGCAACTGGAAAGCCTCTAGTTTTTTGTTTACTCTTCAATTCAAGCTATTAAAATGACAACAAATAAATGAAAATTGCAATTTGATTGATCATAAAGTTTTGGTCTATGATTGCTGCATTTCTCAGACTTGTCATAAGTGCGCTTCCCCTCCTTCCACAGAGGAAGTCGCTGATCGCCACCAGTCTGATCGTGGTGGTGTCGCTCTTCGTCGTGGTGGTGAACTACTCGGAGAAGCCCTACTTCCTCCTGCAGCCAATGTTCGGTCAGACGTTCAGCAGCCACTGGATGTTCTCCAAGCAGCCGTACAAGGCCTTTAAGCCTCACCTGGGCTATGTTAGCATCCCAAAACAGGAGGTGAGGGACACAAATAGACAAAACACACAGACACATGAGCAAGCAGGATTGTCAGCTGGATATATATGTTTGACTAGACTCGATATGAGCTGCTATTGAGTGTCATTTCTCTGGGTTCTCTGTATGTTCAAATTAGTTAACTTAAAGATGCTTAAAGGGCCACTTTTCCATCTCACTACAGAGCAATTTGATGTCTTTCAGCTCATTGTTTTGGTTTTAAAACCTATAACTTTACTGTTTTGACTCACTCTCACTGCTTTCATCAGCAATTTTTCCATGTCGACTGTACACTGCATGCTCGCCACCAAACGTCAGACAAAGTTAGCAGCTAGCTGCTGAACAAAGTGGAGCAGAGTTATAGGAGAAAAAATCCAGCTAAAAGCAAACTGGACACTGGGCTTATGGAAAAACAACTCCAAATGAATGCTCATCATGCTGTTAATGTAGATGTGTTAATAGCGACTCTTTGCTAACAAGCTCACTATATCAACTTAATGAGGTGTTAAAATGGTGATGTATTTACAGCTTGTTACTCTGCACCCAAGTGGGCAAAAAATAAATGAATGTAAGTTGAAGTTCATATTGCAAAAAATACATCATCCCAATTTACTTTAGTTTGTTATTATGGCAAATTATTACCTGTTTGGCTCAGGACATTTCATTTAGCTACACTGATTGATTGATTTACATGTAAAACACAATATTGCAGGTAAAAGTTATAAATTCTATATATTTAAAAAGCCAATAAAATCTAAAAGATGACAAATAAATTATGAAAAGGGGTAAAGTGATGTTTTAGCGATCGAGGCAAACAGTGAAAACTTCTATTTTTGACTAAAAGCTGACTACATCATGAAGTGTAATCCTGGAAGCTTTGGCTTTAATATATTTTGAACATCATTTCGTACCAAAACATTTTGTTTTGCATCTCTGCTGAAATGTTTTTCAATCTTAAGATGAAAGCATTAATAATGAACATTTATACATTTGTCATATTACAGTGTGAGTGTAATAACTTGCGTCATACACGGGCAACCTTTTCTGTTATGGCGCCTTCATATTCTCTAACCTCTATTAACATTAACCTGCTATCACACAGCTTCACCTCGATAATGAAGGTGTATTTAAATGCACTCATGCAAAAAGCACAGCACCTCCTTGAGGATTTTCTTAATTTATTATATCAGGTTTTCTGTGATGGATCTGAAAACGCCTGTTTGATGTCTCCTGCGAGCATTATTTCTTTGTAATTCCAAGCACTCATGTCCGTGATCCTATTCTTCTGCCTTCAAACAGCTCTGTGCTGTATATTCCCCGCACAATTTATGGAAATTGAAATATCAAAGCCTTTTAATTCCCACCAGACCAAAATGTAAAACCCAAGCTGTGTGTTTGTTGTTTAGGGAGGCAGCCGACGAAAACTGAAATTGGGCATATACTGGCAGATATTGGGTAGTCACGCAGGAAAATCATATAATTTGCTTGCATGAGATGCATGCAATATCTCCAGCTGACAGGTCATTGGGTTGTGCTCTCAGTTTGGGTTGCAATACATCTAGATTTGGTGTAGCGATGGATGCGTTGGTCCTTCATGAGAAGTGGATGCCTTATATTCAGTCCGCTGATATTGGCGGATTAATGCATAGCGTCTTCTTCTGCCTCCAGAGAGTTTCATCCACACAACAGGGGCCCAGAGGCAATCACGTTTTACACCAATCTCTACGTCTGCACCTCCCTCTGCCTCTAGACAAGCCTGCTTAAATCACTGCCCTCTCCCCAATGGAGATTTATGCAAATCATTGGAAAGACTGGCAGCTTCTGAAGAATTAGGCCTCTTTTCGGCTCAAATTCCCCCACCAGTGAGCTTTTTATAGCGGATCAGCAGGGGCAATGATTGGCCTGAACGTGAGTGTCAAAAGTGTTCTGTGCACTCCCGAAATTTTTCTGACAAAGGACGGACAGAATTGTGGAGGTCTGGTCAAGGTGATACTCTTGTGCTGGGTATCGTAAGCGATTACGTCCGGAGTGAAAGCCTGTTGTGTGAGCTGTCAGCCTCTGTTAAGCACACGGCAACACCTTAAGAAGCAATAATATTTCTCCTGGATGGTAAGGCAATCTTACATGATCCACAGTGAGGTGTCATTTGTGGTGTTATAAACCTCTTGCAAGCATGTATAATGCATAACCCAGTAGCATGGGAATGGTCTGCCTTATTTTCCTCATTTGATTGAGTCTGCCTGCAGGTGTGATAAATTGTTCCCGCTCTGCTTTTCAGTAGAAATAGAAAACATTTGTCTTGTGGCACTTTACATTCATGCCCCTGGTCTATCACAGATGGAGACAGAAACTCAATATTTTCATTTAGACCTGAACATTTTAAATCCAGGCCTTTTTAAAGTACACAATACCCAACAAGAGGGGGAAAGTGTATCTATTTTTGGATTGCTTTGTGAATCATTTTACTGACAGATCATTAGGCCTGGATTGCACCATCTGTTTGTAAAGTTCCTTCTAAGTTCCCAGTAATTACCAGCTAGTTTCACATTATGCTTGTAAAGCCTTTAGTGTAAATGAGTTACTAGGGAGCATCTGTAGCGCCTTCCGATCAAAAGAAATAAACTGGGAACAGAGAGTCACTGTACCGTCACAAGCTCACAAACTTCAACATAACTTCCCACAATAACTTTTAAAGGAAGGACCCAAAATATTTAACTTAGTATGGCTTATATTTTATTTATACATGCATACATAGAGAAAAATGTGTTTCAGTCTGTCTGAAATCACTCCTATTTGCTATATACTGTACTATATTGACTGTTAAATGTATTCACTATAGTGTCCTCAAATATTCCACAATTAAGTGGTCTATGTGTCTATGGCATGGACATTTTTTCACTACTACCCACAATGCAAAGCTTTGCAGTTTATTGATGAGTAAACGACACTTGTGCGATGCAAAATGATGATGATGCTGCAAGACAAATGTAAATGTCCAAAATGCCAATTTACTGCTCAATATTCATAGGAGCATTGAGGGAGTGATAAGGTAGTGGTTTCGGACATCAGAAGTTGTTGTAGTGTTCATGCAGATAAAAATAAGTGGGAAATATCTGATTGAGCTAACCTTACCAGAGTTATTTAGTAACTTAACTGGCATTTCATTTTCTAATTTTCACAATACTGGGTTTCTTCTCAGTTTACATTATTATTATTAACAGAAGTTGATAAAGTGACACTTGATCAACTGCTGTTAATAATAATGATGAGTCACATATAGTGTGTATATATATATATAATGGCTAAAATCTAAGCGTAGCTGCAGCTTATTTAATTAAAGTAGATTTTTACTGTTATTTACTGAGATGCCGTTTCAGACATACAACCTTTTTTTCTTATTTAGTATAATGTGCTTGCCCCAAGAGGAGCATTTAGAATTAATCACTTTTCCAATGTAGACAGCAAAAGCTAATCAATGAATTTTTAAGTGCCATGGAGGCTTCTTACACTGGGACTTGGCACGATAATGTAATAATTATTGCTTATTAATTAATCGTGTTTAGACCATTTTAATGAATGTCAAGGTTAAGTTCACACCCTAGTGCTATAATTCAATGATGACCGTGTTACCAGCATTAAGCCTGCTTTTTTTAAATAACCCACTTTATTTTTAACACACTCATGCATTAAAATCTGAGGCTTTGAGTAGATTTTGTACTTATCAGAGGGTGCCAAAATTATTGAGATTATAAAAGCGCACTCTGTTTGCGATTACTGCATGCAACACTGAAACAGCAACGTCGTGAACATTAAACTGAAACATCAATCACAGCAGCGAGGATGAAGAGGCCATAACATTTTATTGATATACAGGACGTAATGTTCAAAGATTTGTTAGGAACTAGATTCCAGTCTTATATACTAAATAGAAGTGTTCCAGTAGAGGTTACAGTTGTTAGATGAAGTTTTACACACCTCCTTAATGCATGTAAATGTGATTAGTGTTCACAGGAAGCTAATAATGTTCTGTAAATTATTCAAATGCCTGTTTTTAATTTTAAATTAACCTTAATTAATGCAGGAAATTTCTCACTTTCTCAAGCACAATCTCAGTAGCAGCTTTACTGCGGCAGTTGTGTGACAAACACCTTGCTCAGGGGCTCAAGCCGTTTTGAGCCACAGAGGTATGTGTCTCACATGCAGTTAGCCAACCAGTTCCCCACAGAGCTCAGCCAATCTGTGTGTGCTGAAAGGCGTGATGGAGTTATGAGCTGGGCTGAAGGGAGCGGGTGATGATGGACGAGCTGTTGACAGCTCAAGGCTGCGGTGATGTGTGTCTCAACCAGCCAGTAAATGGAGAGCTACCAGCCCAGGTCCAGAGATCATTTCTTAACCCATGACTGAGTCCATACATGGGAGAAAAATCAATAGCAGGTAGCTGTTGGAGTAATTCACGCAAGAATTATGTCTTGTTAGAAAGAAAGCACTGTTTTTGTTTCCTTTCCAAGCTGTTGATCTTCTGTATGCACAACAATGAATCATAGGAGCGATGATAAGCCAAGTATTCATAATAGAATTTACAGGATCGTCTTGTGGGATTCTGCACAATAAAACTCTCTTGTTTGTTGATTAAACGCCAAGCATGCAAGAGAGAGTTTCATGTTTGCCGCCTAAACAGTCGTCCAGAACGCAGCACAAATGCAATTTGTATGCAAACCAGTGACATTACAGTTATTCTCCATTAAGCAAATTATCAAACAGGGCTTAGTCATGATACAGTGGTTTTTCTTTTCTAACTTTCTCATGCATTCATTCACTTAAGTAAGTTTAATCTCATCAAAACAAACCAAGCATATTAGCTTCAATTAGGTAAATCTCCCATTTCGGATTCAGAGAGGGCTTTCTTCCTCCCTTGGCAAAGCGTAGCTAAGAGCTATTATTGAAGATTCATTACAAATCCCTGTACTCCAGTAAAGTATAATAAGATGTATAAAAAATATACAGTAAGATAAATGACGCAACTCCCTTGCTTCTCTCTTCTGCATTGTCGCAGTAAGACTGGTGTAACCTCTGAGGTCCCACATTCAATTAACTTAATCAATGTTAGTTCTGGGCACAGTGACATTAATCTGAAGAAATAAAAGAAAATTATATAGGGCTGTAAAACCCTGATGAATAGTTTTTTTAAATAATTACCAAATGCATTTTATTTTATGTTTTGATCGCACAAGCCCTGAGCCAAAACATCACTTTAATATTATTATTGCACACATATAAAGTATATCACAAACTATAACATCATAAGATGAAAATTAAACAACACGAGATACAGTATATTTTAGAGGAAATCCACTCTCTGGGGTTAGCATTCAGTATTAATGAACTGAATTAAATTAAATTAAAAGACAAGAACCAGACATGCAGCACTTTAGAACTGTCCAGGTTCATTTCACCAGTCGAGGTCTAAATAGGGATTCTATTTCTTAAGTATTGCTACAAATATTCTTCCATCCATTTTAGAAGAATGTGTATTGCTTTTTTCAAATGCTTGAAAAATAAAAGATACACAATCCAAAGGGTTGTTGATCCATAACGGTGATTACCACTACAAATTCAAACTTTGTCCTTATTTCTGTTTTTCCGAAGGTAATTCCAAGACAAACCTTTCCTTACTAACGTCCTTGAATTTTTAGCCTCTCAATGACAGAGGACGTTGTTAGCTGTAGACACATTATTTTGCCTTGTTCTCAAGCTACAAAAGAAAATGATAAAGCAGTATTTTGCACTGTGAGATATTTCATATACTAGTTATCTAGTTTCCTTGTGCCTCTAATGTGTGAGCTGTCCCACAGCCCTGCTGATGTTGCCTTGGTTGTTAATAGAAGTTGCTAAAAGCTATTGATTGTTTATTGTCTCTTTAACCACAGCTGTAGACTAGAGATTCATATTCAGCTCACAAGAATAAGAACTTGAGACTTAACTTGGACTTGACTGCTGTGGGATGTGACTTACCTGAGACCTAAAAGTCCAGTGTTTAGGATTTAGTAACTCCCTGCAACTCCCTTGCTTCACCCTCTGCTTTCATGTATGAAGGAGAAACTACGTTGGCTACGAAACACACGGAAAACAGAAATCCTCTAGAAATATGTAGAGCCAGTGTTGGTTTGTCCATTCTGGGCTACTGTAGAAACATGGTGATTCAACGGCATCTGTAGATATAAAAGGCTCATTCTAAGGTGACAAAAACATAATGATTCTTATTTTCAGGTGATTATACACTAGAGAACATAATTATATATATTATATGACTTGTGGCTAGAAATGAATTTTCCTCAACTGACTTTGACTCGAGACTTGACTTGGACTTAATTATATACACGATCAGCCATAACATTATGACCACCTGGGCACCTTGACAGGTCTGCAGCTATACAGCCCCATACCAACAGACTGTGATGATCTGTGTGTTCTGACTCCTTTCTATCAGAACCAGCATTAACTGTTCAGCGTTTTGAGCCTACAGAAGTCGTCTGTTGGATCGGTAAAAACTGGGCACCTTTGCTCCCAACATGCATTATGAGCCTTGGCGCACTCATGACGCCCTGTTCTCCCGGGATTCTTTCCTACCTTGGTACGCGACCTTGTTGATAGGTTACTGACCACTGCAGAGCCGTGAACACCCCACAAGAGCTGCAGGTTTGGAGATGCTCTGACCCAGTCGTCTAGCCATCACAATTTGGCCCTTGTCAAAGTCGCTCAAATCCTCACGCTGCCCATTTTTCCTGCTTCTAACACGTCAACTCTGAGAATAAAGTGTTCACTTGCTGCCTAATATATCCCACCCACTGACAGGAGCCGAGATAATCAGTGTTATTCACTTCACCAGTCAGTGCTCATACTGTTATGGCTGATCGGTGTATATAGTAATGATTAATTGTTATAACCGACTTGCTTTCTCTCCTTCAGCCTCTAAAGCTGCACTGTGAGCTCTGCAGCATCGTGTCCAGCTCTGGACAGATGTTGGGCCAGGCTGCCGGCCTGCAGATTGACCGCTCTCCCTGCATCTGGCGGATGAACAACGCACCCACGCGGGGCTTCGAACGCGATGTGGGCCAGCGGACCACCTTGAGAGTTGTCTCTCACACCAGCGTCCCACTGCTGCTGCAGAAGCCCCAGTACTTCTTCGGCCAGGGCAACGACACCGTCTACGTTGTGTGGGGGCCGCTACGAAACATGAGGAAGGATGGGAAGGGTATCGTGTACAACATGCTGCGACAGGCGGCGGAGAACTACCCTCATGCACAAATCTACGTCACCACAGAGGACAGGATGAACTACTGCGACATGGTCTTCAAGAAGGAGACAGGAAAGGACAGGTGAGTCAGACCACAGTCTTCTTTATTTGTTTGTGCCTGTTTTTGGCGCAGCATCAGTACATTCCACAGCAGACCTCCTATTTTTCTCTCTGACAAATTCACCACTCAGTGCTTTGACATTCACTGTTCTCTTCGCTGCTATAATATCGACCTTATCGATGCTGATGGTCTGCTCAATGCTCTGTGCTTTCCTCGTCTCAAATCCTCCCTTTCATGAGGCGTTATCAAAGTGAGTTACTTAACGTGCCCTCTGAAGAGGCTCTACACGGCACTGGAGGCCATTCTCTAAAGAGAAGCTTTTATATAGAGCCTCAGAAGCATGCGCTGCCTGGGTTATAGGCATCGGCCAAATGCCGGTCTGGGGAAAATCCGGTTAATGAGGTAGCATGATGCTGGCAGTCTTTCTAAACACCCTAGTTGCAGCCGGTCTCACAACTTCTTTGACAGCATTTTGGCTCATTTCGATTTTTGCAAAAACCTTGAAATTATTCAAGCTACAGATCAGTAAAGGATAAGCTGGAAAGTTGCTGTAGCAAATTTAAAATGGCTCTGAATTATTTTGAAGACAGACCTACCTAGCAACTCCTTTCTCTATTAATTCCCCAAAGAGAATTGCAGGTTAATAACTATAAGAACCAGGCTTCAGGCTTCGCTATTGTTTAGGATGAACCTCATTTCTCAGACTAGCCTCTGCTCATTTCCAGAGAGCTGTATGGTCCTGCCTCTCCCACATGTCATCAAGACCTCTCTTAACTTCTTAAGAGGATTAACATGTTCTGTAATAAGCGTAGCATCCATTCCATTTCAGCTCCATTGTCTCGCTCTTATTCAAAATGGCAGGGTTAACAACGAATTTCATGTAGAGCGTCCATGTTCAGCCTGGCTCAGCTGTTCCGAAGGCCCACAAAGCACAGATAGAGACGTGGGATTAGGGAGGTATGCTCGGGGACAAGAATCTCATTACGGGACATAATGCTCCTGGGTGTGATGCAGAGCTTCAATCAGTGCTGATTGGTAACAGAGACCAAACTCGAGGTGTGAACAAAGAACCGTATCTAATGCATATGTGATGAGCGCTGAGAGGTTTGCCTATATGTCTGTTTCTCTGCCTGTCTGTCATTGTTTGTGTTTGTCTGAAAACCTGACTGCACATATTCCAGTATTAAGAGATAATTAGTGTCCATGGCAACAGCTTTTAAATCAGCCTGAAAGACACTGTATATTTAAATGTAATCAGAGGGAGAGAAGGGAATAACGATATTACGTTGCGCTTATGCAGTGTGGTATCACTTCAGAAATATACTACAACTCTTAATGTGGCACACTTAGCAAAGCAAACTAGACTGAAATCCGCAGCAATGTAACAAACTTATAAACGTATCAATTTATTTCCTCTGCTTTCTATTCATGTCTGTACAAGTCCACAACGACGTAGCACACTCTAAAAATGTTAATAGAGAGGCTTGTCTGCCTTTACCCTGTCATTTTTGTGTGTGTTCACTGGTTTACTGTCAGCGCTTGCTGCATAGTGTGGGGGATAATCATCAGCTTGGTGGAGATGGAACAATGATCGAACGCAACTCTAATTATCCAGATTGCCGTGAGCAGCCCAGAAGATGTGCCGCCTCAGCTTTGACTTGCTGATCAGGTGCAGCGCTGTGCTGACTGACTGACTCACCAGTCGACTGAGTAACCGTCTCTCCGCCAGTAATTTTAAAACCAGATGTAAACGGTCTGCTACAAAGCTCATTTCCAGATGGAAGTGGGGAAGTTACACTTGAAAACACTTTGGAGAGGTAAACAGGGCTGAAGTGAAGAGCCCTTCATTCCAGCCTGGGTCAACTCCATTACCAGGACCAGCTGATTTTAAAGGTCCAGTGTGTA